CGCGCGTGGTCCGCTTCCGCAAGGGCACCAGCATCGGGATGCGGCTGGCGGGGGGCAACGACGTGGGCATCTTCGTGTCGGGCGTGCAGGCGGGCAGCCCCGCAGAGGAACAGGGCATCCAGGAGGGAGATCAGATTCTGCAGGTGACCTGGACGCGGCTGGCCATGGGCATGTTGGCGTGCTGGCGATACTCCTAGTCTGGATGGCCTGTGTGTCCTCCCCCGGCTCTGCTGAGAGCGGGTGTGACCACTGTCTGCCTCCGTATGTTGTTGACCTTGTCAGAACCTTGAGAGCAAGTGTTGTCTGTGACCCACTGTCCGTGTCTACATATCATTGTCCCTGTCACAACTCTGTGACTACGCCCTCTTTGGAGTGTCGCAACATTCTCACTAGCGTCACGATCTTGTCACATCTGTGCCTCGACAACCCACCATGCTTCGGCCACTCGTGTACTGAGCGCAGTTCCCGTGCCCCGGGCTCAGGGTCAAGATCGTCAGGTGTCTGTGATGCCCGGCTGCCACAGGGCCATGTCCCCGTCAGAAGGCTGTCCCCAGTCGCGGGGCCCTTGGCAGCAGTTGGGGGTGGGCTTTGTCCAGAGGGAGAGCTGGGGCCTCGTGTCCAGAGCCGCGTCCACCCCACGCCCCACCTGACAGGTGAACGACGTGCCCTTCCGAAACCTGACGCGCGAGGAGGCCGTGCAGGTCCTGCTGGGGCTGCCGCTGGGCGAGGAGGTGGAGCTGGTGACACAGAGGAAGCAGGACAGTGAGTGGGGGGTGCGCGCGGCCCTGGAGGGGGGTCGGTCCAGGCGGCAGATCCCTGGCTCACACCCCGCCCCCCCCGTCCCCCCTAGTCTTCCGGAAAATGGTGCAGACGGGCGTGGGCGACTCTTTCTACATCCGCACGCACTTCGAGCTGGAGCCCAGCCCGCCCTACGGCCTGGGCTTCACGCGCGGCGACGTCTTCCACGTGCTGGACACGCTGTACCCCGGCCCGGAGCAGGCCCGCGGAGGCCACTGGCTGGCGGTGCGCATGGGCCGCGACCTC